TAGTGTGGGTGAGGATTTACTAATTCCTAGCATACAATTGGGAAAGCATGGAGTGATATTGTCTTCACTAATTTAGTGGTATCGCTAGATGATACGGGAAAATCTACAAAGAAAACTATTTTAGAGCAGTGACTTTTGGTTTTTTTGTTTGTTTGTTTTTTCTATTTTTAAATATTTTTATACAGAGGGGTCTTACTTGTTGCACAGGCTGGTCTAATTCCTGAGTTCAAGTGATCCTCCTACCTCAGCTTCCTAAAATGCCGGGATTACAGGTGTGAGCCACTGTGCTCAGCCCTTTTCTCTTATCACACATAATAAGAAATACATTTTACATTGCAATTCATTACATACACACACTTCATACTTACCCTTGTTAAGTGTGATACACTGTTACTTTCTGTTTATTACTTTTATTTATTTTTTAGACAGAGTCTCGCTCTGTCGCCCAGGCTGGAGTGCAGTGGCATGATCTCAGCTCACTGCAACCTCTGCCTCCCAGGTTTAAACGATTCTCCTGCCTCAGCCTCCCAAGCAACTGGGATTACAGGCATGTACCATCATGCCCGGCTAATTTTTGTATTTTTAATAGAGACAGGTTTTTGCCATATTGGCCAGGTTGGTCTCGAACTCCTGGCCTCAAGTAATCCGCCCACCTTGGCCTCCCAAAGTGCTGGGATTATAGATGTAAGCCACCGCACCCAACCAATTTTCTGTTTATTATTTAATAAATGCAAATCACGATCCACTAAATTGATTTCACAATCTGCTAATGGGTTGTCATTTTCAAAATACTACTTCTAGAGTGTGCTGGAAGATAGTACGCCTTCATAAGATAAAGGAGTGGCACTGGGGAATAGTCATAGTTGCTATCTGGTTTTCTTGATGGTGTTCAGCTTGGTGTAGAGCCCACACCAGACTCTGCACAAAAGCAACATCTAGCCATGACTAGTGTCTGTAGTCCCAGCTTCATAACCGTCTCATCTCACCAGATCTGCACCTGACCATGGTTTTGCTCCTTATTCTATGGTTCACCATGTCCTGGGATGATGGAGCAAGGCAGCCCACTCACATGAAAGTTCTCACTCCCCACGTGGTCTGAAACCAGAGCCCCTCCTCCTTCTCCTCCACTCAAACCCTTGGCCATTGACCTCACTGTTTTAGTTCCTGCTGTCCCTTGTTTCTCAACAGGTAGTGCAAAGTTCATTTCTATCCTCACCAATGCTTCCAGCTAAGTCTCCATTTCCCCCTTTTTGTCTTAAGCTGGCCAGGCTTAATCCCTGCAGAGGAGGCAAGCTGATGTCATAAGGTGGAAACCACCTTTGCAAAGATTATGATGATGAGAAAAATCCAGCATGGCTAACTCCATCTTGCCTCTAGCCTCATGAGCTGGTTGGCCTTGCTCACTCCTAGGTGTAGGAATTTATTTTATAGTTTAACTTTGAAGCAAGGATGATAATAGTTTCTCCCTAAAACTAACTCTCTCCTTGCTCAGGGACTGAAATTTTCTTTGTAAAACTAATGAAAGGCCATGAAAATTAGGATTATTGTAACTGCCCATTGGGTTCACCTTGCCTGCTGCCTAGACAGAGCCAATTTATCAAGACAGGGGAATTGCAATAGAGAAAGAGTAATTCACACAGAGTTGGCTTGCAGGAGACCGAAGTATTATTATTGCTCAAATCAGTATCCCTGAGCATTCGGAGATCAGAGGTTTTTTGTTGTTGTTGTTGTTTGTTTGTTAGTTTTGTTTTGTTTTTTGAGACGGAGTTTTGCTCTGTTGCCCAGGCTGGAGTGCAGTTGTGTGATCTCAGCTTACTACAACTTCCGCCTCCCAGGTTCAAGCAATTCTCCTGCCTCAGCCTCTTGAGTAGCTGGGATTATGAGCATGTGCCACCGTGCTCATGCTCAGCTAATTTTTTGTTTTGCTTTTTTTTTTTTTTTTTGAGATGAAGTCTCACTCTGTCACTCAGGCTGGAGTGCAGTGGCGTGATCTCAGCTCACTACAAGCTCTGCTTCCCAGGTTCATGCCATTCTCCTGCCTCAGCCTCCCAAGTAGCTGGGATTACAGGCACCTGCCACCATGCCTGGCTAATTTTTTGTATTTTTAGTAGAGATGGGGTTTCACCATGTTAGCCAGGATGGTCTCGATCTCCTGACCTCATGATCTGCCCGAATTTTTTGTATTTTTTAGTAGAGATGGAATTTCGGGATTTCGCCATGTCAGTCAGGCTGGTCTCGAACTCCTGACCTCAGATGATCTGCCCACCTTGGCCTCCCAAAGCGCTGGGATTACAAGCATGAGCCACCGCGCCTGGCCAGGGGATCAGAGTTTCTAAGGACAACTTATGGGTGCAGGGAAGCCAGTGAGCCGGGAGTGCTGATTGGTCAGATATGAAATCATAGGGTGTTGAAGCTGTCTTTTTGTGCTTAGTCAGTTCCTGGTGGGGGCCACAAGATCAGATGAGCCAGTTTATTGATCTGGGTGGTGCCAGCAAGGAAAGTTTTTGTGGAAAAGGTCGATGCTTGAACTACTGAATCTCGAAGTTGTTCTGCTGTAAACATAATCGGTCTGCTGCCTGATAAGCATGCATTCACCCAACAGGTTCTTCCTGCTTGCTGCCTAGACAAGATCAATTCACTAAGACCACGGCATTGCAGTAAAGAGTTTGACACGAGGCTGGCCATGCAGAAGAACTGGAGTTATCACTCAAATCAGTCTCCACAAAGGCTCGGGGGCTAGGCTTTTTATAGGTAAATTGGTGGGCAGGGGTCTAGGGAGTGGGTGCTGCCAATTGAGTGGGAATGAAATCACAGGGGTGTGGAAAATGGTCCTCATGCACCCAGTCTGCTTCTGTGTGGGGCCACAGGACCAATTGAGTCATGCATCACAGGTCTGGATGAGGTCAGTCTGAAAGACATCTCAAAAAACCAATTTTAGGTTCCACAGTGGTGATGTTATCTATAGGAGCAACTGGGGATAACACAAACCTTGTCATCTCTGGCCACATGACTCCTCAGCAGTAAGAGTTTACAGAAACTATGCTTACATCTTCTCAGAATTCAAGAACCTCTCATAATCCTAATTTTGTGGCCTTTCATTAGTTTTACAAAGGTGGTTTATTTTGGGGAAGGGGTATTGTCATCATTGCTTCAAGTTAAACTGTAAATTCCTCCCAAAGTTAGCTTGGCCTATGCCCAAGAATGGCCAAGGACAACTTAAAGGTCAGAAGCAAGATGGGGTCAGCTATGTCAGATTTCTCTTACTGTCATGATTTTGCAAAGGTAGGTTCATGTGCAACAAGTCAATACACTGAGATCCCAGGTTGCAGCAGAGAAAGGTTTAATCATAGGTCTGCCAAATGAGGAGATGAAAGGGAACCTCAAATCCATCTCCCTGAGGATTTGGGGGCTAGGATTTTAAGGATCATGGAGTGGGCCAAAGTGTGGAGATCACTGAGGGGTCAAAGAGTGCAGCGTGAAGTCATGAACAGGGAGATGATGAAACTGTATTCTCATGCTGATTCCATTCCTCTGTGGGTTCTTCAAACTGGTTAGCATTAGCTGTTTCCTTGGAATTTAGGACCTGAAAAACATCTTAAGCAATTCTTAAACAAAAGACTTAGAATTCTAATGTCAAAAATCCCATCTGTAGGAACAATGGGGATACCAATGGTCAGGATCTAGTGACTTTGGGTTACAAGGAAGTAGGTCAAAGTGCAGCCTGATTAGTGCTTATTTATAACTATATTTCTGTCTAGAATTCTTGTTAACTCTGTGAGGACAGCTTCACTGCTTCTCTCCTGTGCCTTCAGACCTGTTCTAATCCTGAGGCAATCTGAATAAGACAAAGCCTCCACAAATAGGCTGAGAAATGTTACCCTGTTTTGTGGATTCTAGTGGCCTAGTCCCAGTGGTTGGGACTCCCTCATTGCCTCCCAGGAATCTTTGTTGTATTCAGTTGAGGAATCTGCTCTTATCAGGAATGACTCCTGGGCCCAAAGTCGCTGCTGTCTGGTCTCTGTCCCCATCCCCTACCTGTCTCCCATGAAAGGCTGAGTCCTTAGTATTAGCCTGTAGTCTTAACCACACATAGTACCCAAGTCCTTACCCTAGACTTTTTTTTTCCCCCCCAATAAAGACAAGATCTCACCATTTTGCCCAGGCTAGCCTCGAATTCCTGGGCTCAAGTGATCCTCCTGCCGGCCTCTCAAGGTGCTGGGATTACAGGCATGAGCCACCGCACCCAGCTTCCCCCAAGACTTAGGCCCTGCTTTGAACTATAGCCACAAGATAAGAGTCCCTGCTGCTTCATCTTGTGCTTGCCAGCCCTCTCCTCTGGGATCTGGGCCTTGTTTTCTATCCCAGCTGGGGTCCTGCCATCCACCCTATTTCCCATTTCTATTCTGGGAAGATGATCTCCAGATTGACCACCCATTTACTTAAGCCTGCTTACATTCCCCACACCTGGTGGCCCCACTTAACTACTCCAGGAATCAGATCTTATTCCAGCCTCTTGAGCTCCTCTTCCACACTAGCCCCTAGCTGACATGTGTGGCAATGTCAACCTAGACAGGATGGGGCAATTCTATTCCAACCAACTTCACCTAGTTCATTCAGTCAGTCAGATAAGCAAAACATCTGAATACATTTAAGTGGTTTCTCAACATAAATAATATATTTTCAAAGAGCTTTCTTATTCGTATTACAGACATAAAATACATACACTCAAGGCATAAAATGTCTGTCTTGTGCTATTTCAAATTAAAAAATCATCGCAGATACAGATCTTCGGTGTTCTAATGGTGCCATAAACACATTCGATGGCCTTTTTTTTGAACAAAGAATTGTGTGAGATTTTACCTCTTGGGTTCCAAGTATGTTTTTGTTTGTTGGTAGAGAGACTTTGTTGTAAAAGTCTCCTCACCTAGAGCTCTGGTGATTTTTCATATTTTATTCATCTCTTTCATTCGGCTTCAAGTGAGGGAAGAACGTGATAAAATTCAAAATTTACTAAATTTCGTGGTAATGTCAGATATGGAACTTTCCTCTGGACTGTCTCCTTTCATTGGCGGTGTTACTGAAGCCTTTTGTTGGGAATGGTGCACCAACCATTCATTGGTTCTCATGGCTTTGCAGCGCAGGCAGTGCCTTTCACTCATTTGGTAACTTCCCAGATTCCTTTGCCTCTGAGCCATTTTTCTCCTCTTAATACTGTCTGGTGATGGGTGGTGTTCACTTTCACTCTCCTTCCATGAGGAGGCTTCTGAGTTAGATTCTTCACTGCCACACTCCGTAGTATCACTGTCACGTTGGTTCTGGTTCACCTCATTGAACTGAGACTGGCGCCTGGCTCGTCTTTGCTCAAGATAGGCATTGACCAAAGCCACTTCTGAGTTGGTTACAGGAGTAAGTTGGTTCTGCTTTGGTTTCTTCATTGTCTGTGAGGGATCCCAGGCACCGTCTTTGCTTTGCCACTTGTAGGAAGTCTCTTTGCTTGCTAACAACCAATGAAACATATCAAGTTAGTAACATTGTTGGTTACTATAAATTCCTATTACTTAAGAAGCCTGTGCACATATAGCTCACTCTTAGTGGCCATTTGTCAAGCCATTGCTTTTCTCCAGTCACCTGCAAGTGTTGGCAGCTGACTGCATTTTCCAGTACCATATCCCAACTCCTGCAGACCAGAGAGCTTAGATAGATGCTTGACATATCACTTTTGAAGTTTTGTGGATGCTAAACATAAGATCAAAGGAAAAGATCTTTAAACTTTTCTAGAGAAGAACCTTTTTTTCCTTTGAAAATTGAACTCTTAAAGATTCAAGCACGTATATGAATGTGATTTGGGGAGCAGGAACTAAGAAGGATCTTTCCTTTATGTAGTGGTGTGCTGAAGTTGGCTTGTACCCGCTCAGAAGAGCTGATAAACTTTCAGTAATTTTGCAAGATAGTTAAACATAGCCATTATTAAAAATTAAATTACACCAACTTATAATACATTCAATTAATAAAAATAGAAGTAATAAATACTCAAAACCCCTCACTTCCTAATTATCTTACTACATTTGATTATGCTGTGTGCTCTTCTGGTTTTTTATGTCTGTTGTATTTGGATGTTGGAAACTCTATGCTGTGTTTTCTTTTTTCTTTTTTTTTTTTTGAGACAGAGTCTTGCTCTGTTGCCCAGGCTGAAGTGCAGTGGCACGATCTCGGCTCACTGCAACCTCTGTCTCCCAGGTTCAAGCGACCTCTGTCTCCCAGGTTCAAGCGATCCTTCTGCCTCAGCCCCCCTAGTTGCTGGGATTA